GCGATCACCGTCTCCTCTCCGTTCCTCCAAACCCCGCCCCCTCCCTGAAAATAATGAGTGACAGGCTGATAGTGACCCGATAGAAACTTTATATATTCACTTAATCACTGATTGAGATATGATGAAGCTAACTTAATCTCATACATTCATGGGATTTATGTAACAGTAAGACAGAGAATGTAAGTGTGCACCCACATGCACTATTTTTGTTTTTATAATGCTATTGTAAATACTCCTGCTGTTTTCAGACTCAAGTCATGTGTGTCTTTTTTTTAACAGAAGACCGTAGCTAGAAGCTGCAGCTAGACTGCAGAAGTATTAGTTTTTTGTTTTTGAGGATGGAACCATTTTCACACACAGATATAGGGAGGCTAGACCTATACAATTGATTTATTATGGTTTATAATTTAATGTCAAGACGAAGAAGAAGAAGAAAAAGATGGCTGAACAACTGTTCAGTGTCAATCCTGTGGAGATCTCCAAAATAATGTTCAGCTTAAGTCTCAGCAAAACTCACAACATTTCTGGAGCCTTGTAGACCCAGAAAACTATAAGAACATTCACCAAGCAGCACTGAAAATGTCTGCTTTATTTGGTTCTGTTCTACATACCTTTGTGAAGCAGCTTTTTCTGACATGAATGAAATCTAAATACAGAACAAGACCGACTGATGAACATTTAAATGACTCTATTAAGTGAACCTAAGTGGGTCCAGCATACACCTCTATGGTGGACTGTATGCAGTGCCATTAATCTCACTAACAAAAGAGTGAAATGCTTGTAAGGTGGTGATTAAGGACACTTATGTGAATGTTCAGTGATGTACTTATTATGTGGGCCATAATAATATGTGAGAAATCACACGTTTTCTTGGACCTTATTTTTGATAAGCTTTAGGTATTGCAATTTCACACGTGTACAAAAGTATAGCTTAATTCAACTGATGAGGGCTATGTGAATAAATGTAAGCGATGTGATGCAAGTAGCTCTTGGCCACTTTCATTTTTTGAAAGTAGCTCTCAGATGAAGAAAGGTTGGAGACCCCTGATTTAGAGGGAATTTCCTCCTCCATCCGCTGACATTATCTTTATAGTAACCAGCTGGTGATCTGCACTGTCTCCAGATAAGTTCACACACTCATGCAGGAAACTAAAAGATAGCCTAGGAAATAGATACAATAAAACAATAACATTATTTTTAAGGGGATATAGACACATATCTCAATATGCATGCGCATTTGTATAACCACCAGTGTGTCATGCGTAATTTGCCACAACTTTAAATCGCTTTTCCCTCAGCATGGACTTACTTCTCCCACGCTCCTTCATGAAACTAATATGCTCCTTGTAGTACTTCAGGTCGTCCTCGTACGGCTGGGCCTCCACCGTGATGTTCATCTCCTCCTTCAGGTTCAGGTAGATCCCCTCTGACAGAAAGTAGTGCGGCCGGTCGTCATGCCGCAGGTCGTGGAAGATCACCACGGCGCGGGACGTCCAGTTGAAGTGCGTGTGCAGGACGTTGGCAAAGTCCCCCAGCTTGGTGGTGGACGGCCCGCTGCGCACGATGGTCCGGTACTCGTCCCGCTTGTCGAAGCCGTACGCCGGTCCTCCTGCGGTGATCAGCGGGAGTTTCCAGTGGGACGCGAAACGCCCCACCGAGGCCAGTGGGTACACGCACCCGGGTCCAAAGAAGGCGTCCGGGCGGATGTAGAGCTTGGCGTCCACGGCCACGACCTGCGCCCTGCTCTCGGCGCACGATCCCGCGATGGGGTCCTCGGTGCTGTAGTTCAGGATGTTGATGTGGCGGCCGAGAAGTAGCCCGTGTTTGCCGTGAAGGTCCTCGTTCGCCATGAGGATGGCCGGGAGGACGCGCGGCAGAGCCCACGGGTACTTCTCGTGGTTGTCCGGGAGCATCACCGCCACCGTGATGTTACCTCCGCAGCCCGGGAGCAGGCAGCAGGACAGCGCGAGGAGCAGGCAGCATCCCCGCGCGCTTCTGCATCCCATGTCGCGTCCCAGCCGCTTGGAACAAACCCCCAAAATGAAAGTACGCACGGTTTGGAGAGGAGACACGGCCGGCTGTGGCACCCTGACACCACACCATAAGTGTCCGTCTTCCCCCACTCTCTGTTTCTCTTTATTTCAAACGTTAAAAGTCGGTAAAGGTATCATCCTGTCGTGCCAGTCCGGCGGTGCCATGCGTCTCCGCTGCGTAAATCCACGGTGAGTGAAGTTCCCGTATACTTCCAAAAGAGACTTCTCCAGCGCAGCACGGTGCTCCACTGACAGGCTCCCGGAGAGTGATAACATCCATCCAGATGACTGCAACTTAAACGAGAGCAGCCCTCAGCTCGGCCCCCGCACGTCACACACTGCAAGAAAAGTCCATTAATCATCTGACCATTGGGTTTAAAATAAGTATTACTCAGGTAAACATGTGACCTAATGTGCTTCTTTAGACGAATTGAGATAAAGTCAATGTAGAACCTATTTGTGCTTATATTATTAACAAATGAAAGACTTATTATCTTCCTTAAAGGCAGAACCTGAATGACATCTGTGTTTCTTAAGACAAACTCACAAATAAAATTGATTTGGAAACAAGTGGTTCCTGTGTTAACATGGTGGCAAGTTGTTCATGTTTAGGGATAAATGTGACAATGAATCAAAGAGCGACGGATAAAATTCAATGTAAAAATATTTGAGATGCCTGTTTTTTGCAGTGTATGAATAAAGCTTTAAAAACGGACGTGAGTCGCCCCCTGCCTGCCATTTGACCAGTGTAGACTGTATAAAGGTATACACCTGCTAGTCACCAGTGCATAACTGTTGAGCAATTTGGGGATTATTAAGGGGTCGCTCGTGTAGTTTTCTAAACATGTTTTTTAGCAAGTGTCTGCTGCTATTTTATGCAGTTTTAGGAAAGCCATTAGACAATAGAAAAATAAATGTGGAAACAATTCTATAAAAATATGTAATGTTTTACAAATGTTTTTCTGAATTAAAATAAAACAGTTGCCTGGCAGAAAAGTTCATTTCAGAACAAGGAGATCCTTTGAAACATGTCTTATACTTTTAAAATGAAAAAAAGGGGTCTGCAGTTTTTAGAAGTGGTAGTTTTGTAGAAATGTGCAAAAATTGTCCAAGGAATGTGCAAAATTCAAAACAGAAATAAATACCGGATCCTAAAACAGAAGCAGCTAAATGGAAGTCAGCCATTGTTCATTTGACTAGTTACCCCTGTGAAATGGACACTTTTTAAAAATGTATAATTGAATTTATAATTATATTTAATAATCCAGTCATCTAAAATGTGATTTGTACCCATCACGCCGCCTACATGTGCATGTCTCCAGAGAGGTCAGTTTGGGGGTCACATCTTCCTGCTTTTTAACGGACTGTAACTTGATGAGTGAATCATCGCCCTTGCTTGTTGTGAAAAGATCTGAAAGGGTGTTTTTAAAGAAATGTGGAAGACCATATCCAGAGACATACAGCACATTCACAGAGCACTGTGTGCCCGGATGCTGTTTGTGTGTCTTCTCTTCACCGTGCAGCTGCAGAACGGCCCCCGCCCACACAGCAGCACCTTGAATTAAGCGGAAATGATTCATCGTATTAAAGCTTTTCTGGAACGTCTCAGATGTCAGCAGTCAAGGTCTTAACACTGCCAACATATCCATCCTATAAATCATTTAGTTTAGAAATGAGTGTCTTTCTCTATCTGCAGCATAAGAAAACCACATTTAAAAAAGGATCTAAATCACACTTTTTAATTCTATATTTATGGTTTTTTTAGAGATAATGTCACACGTTTTAGCCCTACACATGTAAAAAAAGAAAAATACAATTATATTAAATATGTAATCAATGTACGCAGTTTTTTACCTGCAACAATCGTATTTTATGTTCTTATTGGGCCCATGTCATGCTTTTCCAGTTATTACCCGTCCCCTTGTGTGTTATGTAGCTTTTTCTGCATGTAAACGGTCTGCAGAGTCACAAACCCTCAAAGTACACCCTGTAGCGAGTAAAACTCTAACACAGAAAAGACCTGTCTATGCTGCCCCAGAACGCCCAAATGGACCAATCCGCGGAGCACCTCACACACCAGGATCCCTTGGCTAACTAACAGGGAGTCCCCATTGACTTGCATAGAGCTCCCTGAACGCTGGTAATAGAAGAGTTGCGACCGCGGAGTAATGCTCTCCGCAGACCCATTCTCACAGCGTTATAAATCTTTTTCTTACTCAATATCAAGCCACACTTATTGTTTTTACTTCGGCTGTGAGTGTTTGTGTGTGATCAGGATGAGTTTCGCTGTGTCTCTCTGTATCGCCGACCCGGAAACCTGTCCGCTCCTCGCAGCAGCTCGCAGCAGCAACGAGCCTCACAACGTTCCGACCAATCAGAGCACACTGGGCTCACAGGGAGGGTAGACCTCAACAATGGAAATATGATTAGTAGAAATGGCCATGACATGGGACCTTTAACAAATATATTTGCTAGTACTTTAATCCTTAAAAGTACTTGACTGTGTTATTTTTTTAAACATATTTTTTATTAAGTGTATTTAATTGTACTTTTTGTATGAATAGTAGACTTTTACATGTGCTTTTGGTTATATGTTTTCAATGAGAACTATCTATGTGCCTTAATATACAGAATATATGTGTTGATTGTAATGTAAATATATGGCAAAGGCAATTTGAATAACATGGGGGAAAAAAATGTAAGGTCTAAAAACCAAGCGTTCATTTTTTCGGATCATATAAGGACAATAAAACAGTTAATCTACATTCAATGTGTGTTTTACATTGTTTCATTAAGTAGAATCAGCCTGTAGCAGCAACGATATAAATGTTTGCTTAAGAGAAACCATGTGACAGGAAGTGCAGAAAGGTCTTAATAAAGCGTGGCTTAAGTCGTAACAAAGAGTAAAGAGGTGATGCATTACCCAGCATGCCTAAATGTGAACAAATAAAAACCCACACTCACTTGTAGCTCTGAATGATTTTATTCCCTCGTTAGGGGAGTGCTTAAACTGAGGCAGCAGGAACATATCAGATTATTGCTCACGAGTCATACAAGTACCTCCATAATCACATTAGTTAAGAAATGACTTACTTGATTGAATGCTGATCACACTCACACACAGGAGACAGGTCCTGCTAGGAAACACAGCTTTTACATTCTCAGTGTTCAGCCCTTTAAAAGCTTTATGAAAGACACAAGTCACACAGGTGAACATGTGCATACTGATATTTAAATATCAAAGCTAAACAGAAAAGACAAAAAGGCCTAACATGTTCTCATACATTTCATCCATTTGATTTTGCTTAGCTCTGTGCTTGATTGAGTTATCATTTTGATATTTATAAAAGGAGTCTGTGTGTTGGTCGGTCTCTAGGTCCATCCCGTATTTGCTCTCAGATCTTCATTTTCACTCCTTCAGCCAGCTGAGCAGCTGAGGTGTGAAATAGGTGATGATGATGTCAGCACCTGCATCACAGAGCATGGAGACATTATTAGCATATAGCCAGATTTAACAATAACATTCAGTATATCCATAACAAGGAACACAAATGCATTTGAAACCTGCAGTGTGGAACTGTGTCTCCCCCTTCTGGCAGAAAGAGGAATTACACAAACACTGTAAATGGGGCATAATGATAGAGCTTGAATGTTATCTCCCCCTTCATCTGCCAATATTCATGTTTGTGCCAGCCGACAGTCTCTTTCTGTTGACTTTAATCCTTCAACTGAATGCTGAGTATCTCTTTTAATCAGGAGCGTCCACTCCAGAAACCTTTCTTGGAGTTTTTTTAGGATTATCTACCATAGTTTTCGTCATACTCCTAGTTCCTACTCTGTCAACAAGTCCAGTTTACTGCGAGATATGGAACGTTTTCCACGACAGGCATTATGTTAACTCATTTGGCCAGGATGTAACAACATTCATTTATACGTTAAAGTTCTGCATTGCCGCTTTAATGTACATAGGTATTCATTTACTTCAGGTACCCAGGGGCGTTTGACTCCCACCTCCTCCTTCTTACCTGCCCTGCGGAAAGCAGTCATGGCCTCCATCACGGCGGCCCGCAGGTCGAAGGCTCCGGCCTGCGCTCCGTGCCACATCATGGCAAACTCCCCCGACACGTTGTAGACTGCCAGCGGGTGATTGGGGAACTGAGAGACAATGAGGGACAAACAAAGAGTCATTACAAGGAGGACACTTCCTCAACAAGGCACAATGACACTTCAACATCTTTTAAAGGAAGTATCTCTTGACATTTTAAATATGCTTCTGGGACATTCTCATTTGTGTTTTAAGCAACAGAGCAGGTTTTCTGAATTGCACAAATGCAGGATTTTTTCTTTATTGACCTTATTTTTATCATGTTGGACAAGTATTCTGATTCTGATTGGATGTAGTTACAGACCTTGTCCTTGACTTCTCTCACGATGTCCAGATAAGGCAGACCCGGCTTCACCATCAGCATATCAGCTCCTTCTTTCACGTCTCGCTCCTGTAGAAATATAACAACAGTGAGATCTCCTGCAGCTGCATCTGTAACCCTGAATCTTCAAAGCACACACAAATAAACTGACCACAGCTCTCAGTGCGAGGCCTCTGGCTCCAGGAGGCAGCTGGTAGCAGCGTCTGTCTCCAAAGGCAGGTTTGGACTGAGCAGCGTCTCTGTAACCAACACAGTGGAGAGCTGACGTTTATCTCTCTTTATGGTGATATTTCAATTATGTGTTTACACCTGATCTAGCGCTTCCTCACCTGAAGGGACCATAATAACAGGAGGCAAACTTTGCACTGTAGCTCAGCACTGAAACCTGGAGAAGAGAAAAATGTGAATATTAGAGCCCGATATTTCTTCTTTCTGTGCCGTAAAGCTCCATTGTTGCTGAAAAACTAATAAAAACATCAGTGAGCTCCACTGTTGTACTTGGTATGTACTGTAATGAACACGCATTGCAATTTATTTGGACTCAATCCCACACACACAGTTGTACAAAATGTGTATTAATTAGCCACTAAAAATAGTCCCCAACAAAGTCACAGTTTACTCCTGGGTGAGTAAATGTTGTCAGTACATTTCCAGCTGTTTTAGAAGAATCATTTATATAGTAAGAACTAATGGCGCATTTCCACTACAGCGCGGAGCTCGCTTTAAGCGTGCCGAGCCGTGCACGGCCCGTTTTTGGTTGCGTTTCCACTTAGCGTAGTACCGGCTAGCGGGTACTATTTCACAGTTTTTCTGGCCCCATAAAATTGAGGTTCTTTCCGGGCCAACAAACAGGGCTGAGTCGGGCTGAGTATGCTAAAATAGAGAGAGAATCGCTGGCAAGGGGGCTACAACTACAACAAGATGAACATATTTGACCGTGATTTAATTGTAATACACGTTTCAAAATGATGCCGAAGTAACAACATACTGATACCGGTTAGTAAAAACCATGAATTAATGCTTTGACAAGTCTGCAGACAGACGGCAGGCGAAAAACCTTTTAAAATGCGTGTTGTCTAAATGGAGATTGGCTAAGCTAACGCAGTGTATGCTCCGACCGTCCACACTCACAACAACGGCCTATACAGACATAAATAAAGCAGCGACTGTATTCGCCATGACACAGACAGTCTGTGGTTTGTACTTGTTTAACTTTTGTCTAGTTTCTGAACAGATATGAGGAGCTGTGAGCTCTGAGGGCTAACAGCTAACGGCTGATGTTGGTTTTGTGGTTCTCATTGAAGATGGCGTCACGGCTCCGCCTACACTGCGTTACTATAGATACTACCCCAGTTCCTAAACTGTAATGGAAATGCGCCATAAAGTGAGCCAGTCCTAACAAGGCCTAACAAGGCCTAACAAGGCCTAACAAGGCCTAGCCATACCGAGCGAGGCCGTGTAGTGGAAATGCGCCATTAGAGAACGCACAAGCTTTTTGTAAGACCTTGATTACTTTTTGTGAGGGCTTCTTGATTTCCTAGTTTGTACATGTTTCTTTCTTCTCCAGGGATTGAAAGTAATGTACCTTGTTTCCCAGCCCGTTGGATATCAGGGCTTGTTTAATGGCTCTGACTCTTCCATCCATCATATCAGAGGGAGCGATGATGTGACAGCCTGCAGAGCAACATGACAACATGATTAGGGAACACACCAATATACTGTCATGACTGACCAAACTGACATAGCTACCAGAGTTGAATTAGTCACATTTTAAATATTTAGTCTAAAATAAATAAACAGGTATCAAGCTTTTGTCCCTTATTTAAAAAAAAGATATTGGAAAGTAAACTCTACTTAATGCTTACCCCCAATAAATCCGAATACAGAATACAAACATGTTGGTAGTTCTGGCTCCTTCAAAGGTGAACACAATTAAACATGTTTTCCTTTCATTAAAATTCCCATAATTACATAAAGAATGTTTGAAAAGCTAAAATCCCTAAGTTGTAGACCTACTCTAAAAATAGTTGTGAATGATCATAGGCGATGATAAAGGCTTGATCAATAAATAAAAACGTGTGGAAACATGTTTACCAGCTTGAGCGTACGCCAGCGACACTTCCCCCAGACGCAGAGCGCTGGCGTCATTGTTCAGAGTACCGTCATCGTTCAGGATACCTGCAGGAAAATAAACGTAGTAAGAAAATGTAAATACATGCCGTTATTTCTCTCTGCTCTTTAAGTCAAATGAAAAAGAGATAATCTAACCGCAGTGTCCGTGTGATGTGTAAGGACACAAGCAGACGTCACACGCCACCAGCAGCTCGGGGAACAAAGAGCGGATCTTCTTCACCGCCAGGACCGCCGGCGTGTCGTCCGTGTCCGCGCCTGAGCCTCTCTCGTCCTGAGGGAAGATCACAGAATGTGTTAAGAAGACCTGCTTCTTTACAGAGAAGGTGAAGAAGCAGGTTTGATGCCCCTTCACATCCTTATTGCAAAAGCAACACCCTCTAAGGGGGATTTCCTCCAGATTTTGGAACATCTGTGCAGGGATTTCTTTCAATATAAACACAAGAATATGAGTGAGGTCCAACTATATTTGATGATAAGGCTCAACTTCTTTATTGCACTATTATTATTTCCTTTTTTTATGTCTCAAGTATATTGTACTGTTGGTGGGGCCTGGGACTGTAGCTTTTATGCGTATGATAATAAAACTTTGGCCATATCATGCATTTTTATAACTGGCTAATTCCTTATTAAGGCCTTGTACTTTTGCACTCAGGTCAAGGTACAGGGTTTCTCATTTACCAGTGTAATACACATTTGAAAACCATTATTAGATATAGATTTACTTGGCAATATAAAACGTAAACACTCTATTTTCTACTAACCACTTCCTTAAGATGAATGTTGACAAAAAGGCAAGACATGCATTTCATTCAAGTTGTTTAGCGTGTCTTTTGGACATTTTTTAGTCTTACATACCTTTTCTATGTTTGCAGGGACACCAAATATCAGCACACATTTCAAGCCGTTCTCCACGAGAGGCCGCAGCATTCCCTCCAGCTTGTTCACCCCATATCTGTGGATGGAAATACAGATCATATTCATTTTAGGGTTAGGCGTAAATCCCAATATAGCTCATTTCATATCTTTTGAGGAAATAAATCCAAATACTTATCTTTTTTCATTTTTACTTCTGTGTGAATTAAACATTTAAAAAATGAAAATAACTTTAATGCAAAATGAACTTTACACTGGTTGTTAAATTTGCCTCAAACCAAGTGGTAAAGTATGATGTTAAAACAAAATCGCAATCTTTAAATTGTATTCCATCAAAATATTTCGGATTACATTATCTGAGAGATTGGAGTTAGTTTGTGCTTGTTATTATCAATTTAGACAACGTAATTGTGTATCATGATATCTCAAGAAATAATTTATCTCAATACTTTCAAATTAAAGACAAAAAACTATGATATTGAATTATCGCCCAGCTCTATATGAACCTTGTATCAAAACAGGGAATGCCTAAAACAATAAATTGAAAATATATATATTCAAGGAACTAGAAACTGAACTATTGACACGTAATGTTACATTTCAAACAGGAACAGTGTGCAGTCTCTGTTGATGTAATTCAGAAGGACCCTTAACACAAAGGAGGGTTTGTTGTGAGGAATAAAAAGCTCTAACGGATTGTCTCCTTATCTCAGTCCAGCTCCAGTGTTTGGCTCTGGGTCCGCCCTGCCTGACTGATTTTATCTGAAGACAACACCCTGAGTTTGTTCACAGCTGCAGGGTTAACTGTGTGTGTCTTTTGAATTATGTTTAAATGTAACTCCTACAGTTAAAGCAAGGCAACAACACATATGTTAGCCTTATAAACAGAAATGTGTTTAGAAAAATGGGTGTTGTGTTAATTCAGTTATGGGATGGCTATACATGAATGAATCTTACCTGGCCAGTCCCGGCAGGCTGCCAATGGGCTCCACTGCATCTGCACTGTCTCTGTAGGAGAAAGAGACAAAGGACCAAGATTAAAACCAGTTAAGCGTAACATTACAAAAAGACCATCGTTGTTGACTATGTAAACTTGTTTATTTCAGCCTTTTCATGTCAAATAAGGTGAACAAATTGCAATTACGTGACGAAGATGGGGTAGATGAGGTTGTCAGGTCTTATATCAGCAGCACAGGTCTGCCAGTATCGGAGCGTTGGGTGGAAATAGCCACTGTGGATGATGGACTCTGCTGGTGTCTGCATATTTACCCTGAGACAGAGGGATCATTAGTGAAACAACACAGAACGTGGGAACAGGTCAGGTTCTGTTTGGACATCAGTCAGAATACCACTCTCACACTCTTTTGCTTCAACACAACTATTTCAGCGTTAAATGTGAGCAGGCATGCGTGATGCTGCTTCTCTAAACACCAGCTTAGACCCACCTCACTGCACAAAAAGCAGGCTGCAGGTTTTCAAATGATATTAAATAGAAAGCTTTTAGTCCCAAAGGCAATGTTTAGCACTTTGTTCTCCATGCACATGCTTTGTCTTAACTTTGCAGCAATGCTTTAATTCACAATAACGAATATCTTCCCGAGCAATGTGATAGATTTATATGGCAAACTGTAACTTTAAGATGAAAAACATTGTTCTTACGGAGCAGTTTACTTTTTTTTTAGCATGAAACACATCAGTAATAACGGTTGTGTAATTGCCATTTAACTTTAATGGGTGTTATTTTTAACATTTTCACCGCCAGTGTGCTCGTGTGCTTTTTAGCCAGAACAGGTTGAGTTACTTTTACAACATTTCATTTGTCACCTTGGTCGGGAAAATAACATTGCAATGTACGGGGGGTGTTAAAGCAATAACCCAGAGCAACGTATGTATTCAATATGTAATACTACAATACACAAATATAAATAAAAACGACAGAAATACAACATTAAGACATTGTAATTACCTGTAAATGACTTCTCCACAGTTCTCCACAGTTCTCCACACGAACTGTGTTTCTTCTTCGGTTTTGACCCGACTGTTTGCGGTTGAAGTGTCACCTCACTACTGCCACCTAGAGACCGGAGATGTATCTATATATTGAGCCTAATATAAAGAAACCAACCACAATTTATATATTTATATTTGTTTTATATCTATCATTATCCCCCCCAAAAAAACCGGTGGAAGTTCTACTTGTTATACTCACATAACGCTGTAAAATAAGCGGTGATATTGCAAATATTTGCTCATAAACCAAAATCCGTCCCTTCCGGCCACCGTACAATCCGAGTTTCTCTTCTCGCGATGCTTTCTCAGTAGGCGAGACAAGAGAAGAAGCTACGATGGTAGCCGTTTGTTAGCCTTATGTACTAAACAATTTCGCTTTCAGCTGGATGGAGGAAAATACTCCCGACTGTTATTAAGGTAAAGTAAAGTGTGGTCACAATGAAACACATGTTGTATAAGGCTTTATGTGTGTTGTGTTGGTAATAAGATGGGCTGTATCATCTCTGACTGTCGTTAGCTAGCATTGTAGTGAAAGGATCGGCTACTGGCTGTATCATCGATGTAACAGTAGCTCGATTTTTAACGCTAATATGTAATGTTAATGTATCATTTCTAATTCAGATAGTCAATTGGTTTCTACGTGACGTTAGTCCTTCTGAAAATTGAGCTGACAATGTGATGACATAAGGGAGAAAGGTATAATCACTGCCTATCTTCACTAGCTGTTTACTAATTCAGTAAGATGTGACATGGGCCCTGTCTACACTACGTTACAGACAATGCGGGGTGTAGTTGTTTTTGATTCTTTCTTTCAGATGTGACACACTCTATCCGTTTTTATAATGTTATGTGTTCTTTATTTTACATAAGGAAGGGTTTCCAGAGGACCTTCTGCAGACACCTCCCAGATCATCATCCTCCTCAGTTTTGGATTTGAAGATGTAACCAAGAGTGAAGTGGGTCATCTCTGCAGCACCTCTCCATTTCCAGGCATAAGCAGTGACTTCTGACCTCCACCCTAACTCTGGAATATCTGGCCCCTAACCAGGGCTGCCTAGTGCGTGTCTCGGCCGTCCTCAGTCAGTCCGTCCCTGGTTGAAGACCCTGCTGTCCTCAGCCATGCTGTTCTCCCTGAGGGAACTGGTCCAGTGGCTGGGCTTTGCCACCTTTGAACTCTTCCTCCACCTGCTAGCTCTGCTGGTATTCAGCATGCTGGTTGCTCTGCGATTTGACATGTTCACCCCCTCGCTGAGCTGGTGGCTTGTGTTCGTCCCGCTGTTCGCCGCCGACGGCCTCAGCACCTACTTCACGGCCATTGTGTCCATCCGTCTTTACCAGGAGAACGAGAAGCGCCTGGCAGTGCTGCGGCTCCTCTGGGTGCTGACGGTGCTCAGCCTGAAGCTGGTGTGCGAGGTGCTGCTCTGTCAGAAGCTGGCGGAGCAGGAGCAGGCCAGAGACCTGTGGTTCGGCCTCATCGTATCGCCGCTGTTCATCCTGCTGCAGCTGCTGATGATTCGAGCATGCCGCGTCAACTGAAGAGAAGCAATTAGTGGTTCACATCAACAACCAAATGGGAAGAGAGAGCAATCTTTTTCTGCCATTAGAGATTTAAAGCATTACAATGGTGTCTTTTTGCTTTTGGCTCATCGCTATCTTTATTTTCTCCTATAAAAACAATCCCAAAACAGGTCCAAAATACAGTTTTTTTTTACATTTGTGCTCCTAATTGCTTAAAAATGAGCAAAACATCTTACTAGCATAAGTGAAAACTGAAAGCTGTTGTAGCTGCACCATGGTAATCAAATAACAAAAACCATGTGCGAAAAGCCGTTGCCATAAGTGAAAAATAAAACAAAGTCCGTCCCTTGGTTTTGAAAAAATCGGGTCAATAGCTTTTCTGTAATCCGGGTGACGAACAAAGCCTCATACTGAAACTTGGTGAGGGTAAATAAATGAATAATTATTTCGGCCATGTAAACATACTTAAAAGTAACAATTCCTTTAGGGAACCTTTAGTTGATTCTGAAGACTGAATGGAAGTAAATGTAAAATATTGTACGTCAGTCCTTTTTTCATCAGGGTCAAATCTGGCTTTGCATTTTTGATACTTGTACGGATACAAAGGGGTCCTATAGTAGTAAATGTGTATTTGGGACATGCTGTGCCTTTTACATTGTGCAATCAATGATAGACAATGAGCCATAAGGAAAATGTATATACCATAGATATGTTTTAATGCACATGTGCACACAACACATGTAAATGTAATAAACATCTCAGAACCGAAAGGCTGTAATGCCCCGGGCCCCTTTTGGGCACCTGTGATGGGTAACAGAGCTCAAGGAGTTGCGACAGCTGTTTTGCTTTTTCACCCACAAGAAGAAATTGCTTGCCAGCTACATTTGGTTTATTATCATGCGTCTCACTTTGTGGCCTGTTTATAGGGAGTCCCACCCCAGAGTTGCCTAGCGTGTCACTTCCATCAGTGGGAATGGTCTGAAAGGCAGGAAACTGCTTCTGAAGCTTGTTGTCAGTCTCATTGTACAAGAACTGAATGTGATTTCCACAAGAAGTCCACTGTGTGCTCACGTCTTCCCTGAATATTGCTGTTTATTTGAACTATATGTAATGTATGTGATCTGAGTTCGATCCTACCGTGTGTATGCACTGCATGTGTTCAAGGCCTCCATTTTAAAAGTAATTCCCTATGTGAAATATTGTGTCATATGTATATGTTGATTTTTGAAGGAAATTCTCCAAATCTTATTTATGTTCTTGTTATTGCACCTTTTATTGTCTTCTGTATATACATGTAAATAAACCATCAACATTTATCCAATGTGTTCCAATTATGATGTTGTGGTCCACCTGGCCACCAGGAGGCGCCACTGCGTGAAGAACCATTTAGATTGTATTGTTTTTAACCTTTTTAGGCTACAAATACTGCTTTCAAAGCATACTTCAAAAAATAGGTTGTATTTGCCTTTTATATAAGTATTTCCTCTTCGTCTTTCGTCGTAATTACTTCAAGAAAATACATCACTGCATATGCCATACTTCTATTTTCGTTCTGTCAAATATAATCAGCATTTTATTTGCTTGTAGACATTTGAGTGATAGGTTTAATACTTCAGATCAGTGGATTGGAATGTCTTGCTAATGTAATATACAGATTAAAACTGTTGCGTTACAGCTCAAAGGAAATATCATATTCAGACACATGTATGTGTTTTATTTTTTAATGACAAAGGAAATGTGCAAAAGATATTAAGGTAAACAATATCAGCATACATAACCAATGCAAGTGATATAAATACATATGAAATATTGAAAGCCAATTACATTTATAAGAATAAATACTACAAATAAAGTAAATAAGTGCTTTCAGGTTTAAACCAAATTAAATACCAATGTCTTTAAACAGCATTGGGGACGAATAACAGGTGTATTTCATGTAATTATAATTCCTTAGATTTGTTCCAAATGCAGTGCTAATAAGGTATACACGTGTATCAGTGTGTGATATAATTAAAACCCATTTGATGCACCTTTAAACATTCTCCTTGGTTTTCTGTAAAACAACTTGGAGGAGCAGACAAAGGTAAATGTTTACCTATTTCTTTTATGCATTTGATTAAGTTCTCCCCCCGTCTTGCTGTTGTTAATTATGTCTCGGTGATAAATGTTTGATGAAGGACAGTGATCGCTTGTAGTTTCCAATAATAGACCTCTAAGTGCTGATTCATGTGCTACCTCTCAGCTCATGTGTTTACTGCAGCCGGATTATCGACAGGTGGCATCACCAGCAATGCTGACTGAACCATCGTCGGCCACCACCCTACACTGGATACTCCCAATTGATCACAGCTGAATAACAATTGATAGCTATAGGATCCCTAAACTGCAATATTGGCTACAGGGAAAACTCTACAAATACCAAAATACCCCAATGCATTTGGAACATTTTGGGGATATCATAGATTAGGAAAAAAAAGAGGAGGAATCACGAAAAGTCACAATTCAGTGGTCATAGGACAACCACAATGGAAACTGGATACAGATTTTAGGAGTAATAATATTTAGTACGTTTCTAATGTGCTAGGTGAATGAACGGCGTTGTGAGGATTGTAATCAAACAACTAGTACTCACTAAAATTAAACCTTTAATGAATGAGTATGAGTAATACACACAATTGACGACCAATCAATATGTAATCCCTAAATAAACGACACATGACACACTGATAGCACAAATATAGTAACAAAAAAAAGGGAGTGGCGGATTGAACCTGAACGCAGCATTTCTGATTGACAGGCCTTCCTTGGCCAGTCAACAATAGAAACGGGAGTGGTTTACGTCAACGTGTGACGTTCGGGAGGGGCGTGTCCCTCAGCAATAACGACCAATCAGGAAGCGGATGGGACTGCCGAAGCCGCTCGTGCTTCTGCAGATGGGCGGGGCCGCGTTCAGGGGCTGTGTGGAGAGAGGAGAGTGAGTGAAAAAGCAGAGGGAGAGGGGAGAAATAACAGACGGTAGGGATGTGTGTGAGTGTGCGGTGAAAGGTGGTGCAGGTACAGTCAGAGCCGGATACAGGTTTTGTAGCCGCACCGGACCGCGGCAAAACCTCCTCAGAGCCTGCCTCTCTCCTCTTCGTCTCCCCCCTTACTCCGCAATGTCTGGCGGAGGAGAGGTACGCGTCGTCCGCCAAGAGCCCGGACAAGAGAGCCCGAGGATGCCGGCCTGGAAGCGAGAAATCCTGGAGAGGAGGAAGGCGAAGGGCGGCGGGTCTGGAGGAGCCGGTGCCGCGGAGACCAGCCCCGTCAGTGCGGGCTCGCAGCGGGTTAACGGTGAGCAGACGGGAAATGTGAACGGTAACACCGGCAGCGGACCGAGCGGCGGGTCCGGGCGGAGCTACACCATCACCACAGCCAGTCAACACTTCGGCAACAACAAAGAGCCGACGGACGCGGAGAGGACGACACCGAGGGAGTACACCAGACAGGAGAGCCTGGTGCTACAAGAGAGCCTGGGCCCCCTGGAGGAGAACCCCTTCATTAAGCTGGAGAAGGAGCGGAGGAGGCGACAGGACCGAGAAAACACCGCCCGTCCGGTCCAGCACATCCTTGAGCTGTATGGCAGTGTACCCGGTATACGGACTATACGTGCAGACAATATTATCATAATTGAGTCGGACCCGGATTACTTTCCGGAAGCTGGAGGGGCACACAGCGGGTCCAAATGGCAGCAAAACGGTGTCAGTAGTTACGGTGTCAGTAGTTACAGCTCCCTGAACGACCTCCTGGACCGGAGAGGGAGTGCTATTACTGAGATAAGGGCCAAGGAAGTGGTAATTTATGACACCACGTTAAGCAAGAGTGAGGAGAACTTGAGCACCCTGGGCCGCCCTGATCATGAGTCTGCATCATATGAGACCGGTGAGGGTCAGGGCAGGGTTAGCCGGATGCTGCAGAAGTTTGACTGCAACTACGGGAAGCTGCAAAAGAAGTCCCGCAGCACAGAGAACCTGCTGGATCTGGATTGTAGTGCCAGTAGCAGGCCACGACTCTGGTCCAGGCCACAGCCAGATCTGGTGCCAAAGGTCAGGCAAGGCCCGTCGGTCAGCAGCCAGCCATCATCGCCTGTCTTCCAGAGTCCCTCGTCTTCCAGACCAAAGCCACAGCCTGCTTTCTCTGAACTGGGCAGCCCCCAGTGCCTTGCTGGGACAACTCTACCTGTGTCTCCTTTCCGTCAGCGGTTTGCGGAGAGTGGAGGCCCTGGAGCTGAGCCAGAAAGGGCCCAAACCAAGCCCATCAGAGAGAGGGACTGGGAAGGCTCTGAGGTGCCACCAAAACCCAAGGTGCCATGCTCTCCAGAGACCCGTCGTGTCCGTGCTGAGCCCCCCTCAAGCCCAATCTCATTCAAGGTGTCTCGCTCCTCATCTGACTTCGAAATCCGTCCCTCTCCAAAGCCAGACCTCGATCGTATTCCTGATGGGGACACCCAGGCACGGGCCCTCGCTAACCTGCGCCTGCAGTCCCGTAACTCCTTCACAGTCATTCCCAAGCGGCGTCCTGCTGCCTCAAATGCAACAGACAGCCCTGCACCGTCCAGCCCTTTCAAGTCTTCCCCTTCCCACAGAGTGGCAGAGGTGTCCACACCAGGACTGCCAACCTCGTCACCCTCGAAGAGGACTGAGGAGAAACTGCTGGAGGAGAAGGAAGCAGAGAGGCTGAAGAGGCTTTCAAAGCCTTCATCTCCTTCTGTTGCCGCAAGTCCTTCTCCGACCTCCGAACCTTCATCTCCACCTCCTGCTCCAACACCAGCTCACTTCTCTCCTCCTGCCCCGTCATCCCCCTCCTCTTCTCCGCCTGTCCCGTCTTCACCCACCTCTCATCCGGATCTGTCAGACTCCCCAGCCCCATCACCTGTCCCTTCTACCCCCTCCCCAGCTCCAGAACAACCTCCTGTGGATCAGTTGCCTGTAACGAACATAGATGACATTGAAGTGGAGCCCCAGAAGCAGCATGTCCCTGCTCCCAGCCCCATGGGGCAGAGGAGAAAGGGGAACACCTTCACCGTGGTCCCTAAGCGTAGGGTGGAGGCCGAGGGCCAGCCCAGCTCCCCTGAGCCCCAGCAGGAGGCCTCAAGTGAGGCTCCCCTGGCGTCCACACCCCCACAGGCCCCGTACGCTCAGCTGGGCTCCCTGCTGAAGAAACGCTACCCTGCTGTGGAGGAGATCGAGGTCATCGGTGGGTACCTTTCCCTCGCAAAGTCCTGCATCTCCAAGACGGGCTCCACGGGGAAGAAGGTGAGAGCATTAACGGAACCAAACTGTTGTTTTCTTCCACAAGTTATCAAATATATTAGGAGCATGTAGGGGCCACACACAGACAACTGGTTTAAATATTAGTTGATTATACAAACAAAAAAGGGTCATTTATCCCAAAATAGCAGGTTTCAGCTTCTTGTTTGTGAGGATTTGCGGCTCTTCTCTGTTTTAAATGACTGTAAACTGCATATATTTGGGTTTTAGGTCATCTGGCAGACAAAACAAGACATGAAGACATCACATTCGCTTCTGGGAGTTTGTGATGGGCGTGTTGTAACACTTTCCATAAATCAGTTCACCAAAAACACACACAACAGATTAATTAATAATGAAAATAATCGTTATTTGCTGCCATAATTGATAGGTTATTGTTCTTCATGGAAATAAGCAGTACATCACTGCAGCAAACAGTAGGAATATTATTGTGTCCTTGCAATCGAATGCGTAGCATGTGCCAAATCTCCCCTGGGGGATCATGAAAGCTTTCTCTGATCTAAATTTAGTAACCAAACGTCACACAGGGAAGTAAAGTCTCTGGTTGTCTTGGCATCCGTCATTTTATTATTCTCAAACCAAGCACACCAGTAACCTGTTAAGGAGTCAAGCCACACGGGTAAATCCTCACACTTATTTGCATGCGAGGTGGCGAGTGAGTCTGTCTGCTGCTCTAAATCTCCCTGCCCATCACTTGACTTGCTCTCAGGCCTGACGCCTAAGTGGATTAAAAGGGTGTGTTTACACAGCCACTTGGAGCGACACACAGCGCTTTTTGCTGCGGATTGCCGTGCCACAAAGGCATGTTATTTGTCAAAGAGTGCATTATTGTGTTAGGTGCCCCTCCAAGCCTATTGACTGAACAATCTCACCAAGACTGTATTCATTTCTGAGGATTTGGCTCGGGGTTTGGAGCCAGCTTGTACCTGTCTCACACTCTACGAGGAACATATTTATTGGTTATTTTTCGGTTGAATTCATCTGTGTTTTGGCCCAAAGCTGAGATATTCCCAGGCCTGGTCCTCAATCATAATGAAATGATAACAAAGTTTGTGTTTGGGGCATCACGGTTTTCTTACAATCATAATCAGATAGCTGGTGCTTGCTCGGCGAAGGTCTGGCTGCAAATTGTTCCTTTTTCATTAGGGATTAATTAGATACCACAGAATGTTCCTAATTCATTTCAAAGGTTGCTGCAGGCTGCTTTCAGCCCGGAATCAGCCTGGGTGGCAAACATTATTTTCAGCATGTTTACGTAATTATTGAATGCCAAAGATCTCAGTCTTTTTCAACCCAATAAAAAACATATTTGAAGCATTGCGATAGTTCCGGTCCTTCTGGTGCAGGGAACCACAGCAGCCTGGGTTAGGGTCCAGCCTCATATCATCCCTCGCCCTTCCTCTAAGCATGTCATACTCTGTCAGCCAAAGAGGAAATGTTTTCAACACAAGTTACATCACAACGTGTGAGTTAAAAGCACCACATCACCTCTAATGCCAAATATTTCGAGCCTTTTGGCAGCTTTAAAATGTAGGCCGGTGTGTCAGTCGCCTCTCAGACGTTGGCCTGTAGTCCTGTTTCCTGGACTGCTGTAATCCTCTGCCCTCTAAATATATCCAAACACCTCTTACAACTCGGGCACAAAACTCAAGATTGTATACGGTGCACACGGTGACCAAATGGAATGATGCATGAATGAAATGTTTTTTCTGAGCAGGTCTGGACGGTACTCTTTAATTCCTCTAGGTTATTATATTTACACAAATGTCTTGAACTGAAACCTTTTACTTTGGATTATTTGATCAAATCAAAAGGCTTTACTGAGACATGCTGTGCTAGCTTGATAGCTTTAGTATTAGGACTGAAAGTCTGTTAGCTATCATATTGCCTGGAAACCTCTCAAACATCCTTAGTACTCGGTAAACACTCGAACCCAAAATGCTTTTTTATTGTCACACAATTGCTTTAAATGGGAGTTTGTGAAGCAGTTTCTCCTCATTTCCTTGTAATTGAGCTTTGCTTTTTGGCAGGATAAACTCTAGGTTCGTGACAAGCATTTAAAACAAAGTTCTGCGGGTTTCGCCTGCAAATCATGACTTTATAATGACGGATATTTCAGCTGCTGACTTGTGTCGAGCCTCACCCATGCGACCTGGTTCTAGTGCATGTGTTGCTTGCAGAACACCAGGGACTGTGGCCATAAGACATGACCACATCCTGTCTTTTGTCCATGTCTCTCACACACCAAACACGTTCTGCTTTTGTTGTCTGTCCACTCTTTCTCGGTCATCATCAAGGACCAGATTTCTTTTTCTACTTCTTTTCTTTTTCTGGGCAGGGCTGCACTGGCAATTACAAAAGCATCGAGGCTTGGCCTGGCCTGTATAATTTGTACGGAATTTGTGTGCTTCTGTGTGAGAGCAGCCTCCGAGAATGGCCTCCGCTCAGCGTTCTGCTCTGGAGATTGGGTTTTTTTTGTTCCGCTTTTCTTTTTCCAGCAAACCATTTTTTATGAGAAAACTTGGCCGTAAAAGAATGTTCCACATGCACGTCAGTACTTGAGAACTTAACCAAAGCAGATCATCAACTCTTCCTCCCCATTTTCCAAAAATATTTCACTCTATCCACGCTCTCTTGATGCATGTTCTTATTTTTGAACTCTTTCAAGACTGTTGCTGAAAGCTGGACCACATCCAGCACAGTCTCATGTACTCTCGCTCCACAAGCACCACTCTGCTTTGTTTGTCTATTTCCTCTACCCACGGTGCACTGCTTTTATTCCTGTGAGGTGGTGGTTAATAAGGCCTTTCCCCTCGCTCCCAGCTTCCTGTGATCCCCTCCTCTCTATTGAGGAAAGAATTGTGGAAGCGTTATGTAGGTCAAGTGCAGCTTCTCGTACCGCATCATTCCCGCAATTTGCATAAAATCGACTCAGCCTTCCGAGTGTAATGCACAGGCCAGGATCGACTCACTTCTCTTGGTCTGATTTGATTGGAATGGGCTCTCTTGACTTGACCAATTTGAAAATGTCCTTGTGGTAGACACGGCCACTCTCCTTCAAAAGAGTGCAACAACCAGGAGGGGGTGGAGTGGTTTTGTTTTTGAAGTGTCTGCTCCCTCTTACTGGTTATTATGGGAAAAGGGAGACAGACCCATGTGTTTGTCAGCACAACATCCAGAGGGAGAGATTTTATGAGCTTAGCCGTCTTTTTCCACTGTTCTCATTCACACAGACGAACCACTGTAATTGTTTAAACTGCTGCAGCATTTTTATGTGTAATGATGACCATTCTGTCAGGATAATGATTAGTTTTGGTGGAGGATTGTTAAACTGAAAGGGATAATTATTCAGATGCTTTTAGTCTAATGGAATTATGGGATTTGGTTTTGTATCAATCTCTTAATTTGTGTTTTCTTACCGTTAAGTGCTATTGCACCATGAAGGCCATCCCATCTAGCTAATGGGTACGTGAAGCTATCTCATAAGGCAGTAGGAGTATGTTGGTCAGAATTAGTCCGTGGTCCGTGTTGTTTATACTATGCAAGGTAATTTAGTAACCATGGTAACACATGTGCACGTCAGCACGTTACTGGTTACAGGCGTGTTCCCTAATGCTTGTTTTGGGTTTTTTTTGTGGACTAAATGAAGCGAACTACAGGTGTGAAAGCATGTCTATTTAAAATATACTGAGCAATAGTACTCACTTTAGTATAAAAAAAAACCTGTGATAATTTCTACGATTGAGGTGGTAAATTGACGAGACAAACGTAAATAATACAAGAAACCGGTTGAAGAAGAAAGATTGTATCAACACCCCACAACCCATCTTGTAGACGGGGTAGGCGACACACATTAGTTAGGAGGTGCGACGGTTTGAAACACGGTGGTATCCTTCATCTGTAAATTGCTTTATTGTTCCTGATGTACAAAAGATATCACTTCATTCAAATCAGTACATTGTTATCATCCGAATAGGCCCAATTCATAGCACAACTCTTCAAAGTACAGATGTCTTATTTAGATATGGTGTTTCTGGGAAGAAATCCTGAGTATTTCCTTATTGCAAGTGCAAAGTATCATTTGATTAGATCAACCGCTGCAGGCGTAATACATGGCGAACAGCGGCGCCTTTGCATGGTTGGATGAACCTCATCCAACCATGCAAAGGGAAGAGATATGGTCAATTTCCACAAAAAATCAACACAAACTTTTGACTTCGCAAATCTCAGAAAATATCTGAGTCTTAATCTCAGAGAATATTTTCAAAATGTTTTACTTTTTTCTTTAAAATGTGGAAATGTGGATATTTCTTCTCGTATGAATCCCCCCTCCTCTGCCTCTCTACTTTAATTGTGTCAGCCTACAATGGCCATGATTGAATAAATGAATAAACCTGCAGTTTAAAAACAGTACACAAGAAAGATTTCTTTAAAAAGGGCTCTATGAGAAAGGCCTACCTCTCTCTCCCTCTGCACCAGCCACATCAACATTTTGCTTTTGCAGCATTGAGTACATTCCCCTACTGCATGCATGTGAAGGTCATTATCGTAATCTGCGTTTAGAAACACACTTGAGGTTAAATGTCATGCATACAGCAGGTTAAAAATACCCAGACCTAAAACAGGTCAAAGCTCTGTGTAACGCAGGAAGGCCAATGAAAGGGCACACTCCTAAATTTACATTGTGCGCCTGGGCTACAGGTGGGAAAGTCCATTGTGTTTAATTATTTACCACCGAGCAGACATTCCCCATCTCAGTCCCTCATACTTCCTGAAAAGCTAAGCCAACCCACAAAGTAAATACCGGCCCACTACCCCGAGTGCTTTCTTTTGTTATTGAGGCTGAAGGGAAGAGACAGGAGACATGCTTCAGATTAGGAGTGTGTGGAAGTTGGGTTGTTTCTCCAAAATAGCTTTGGGACAGTGCGTTTTATACAGTAACTGTGACAGCAGTAAACTAGCCCTCTTTTTAGTGAGTTCATAAT